ATCAAAAAATACATATATATACTAATCATGGTTAATGAAAAACTCCTTAAGTTTTATTTACTTTTATATTTTTTCTTTTATGTTTAAGTCGTTCTGTTAAAATGTTGTGTTTGATTGCAGCCAGTGTGTGTTTACATCACCCCTGGTTTTATTTCCAGCTTCACTTCACTTCAAGCTTCAAGTCAGTTCTTAAGACAGCTCTTTAATAAACACAAAGATGCTGTATAGTGTGACTGGCCCACATATGGCACTCAACATATTCCTTGTTTTCATTGGCTTTTGTGCTCTTGGTGTATAAACACAAGACTGGTTTCTATTTTTGCTGTCTCCAGTAGAAACTGTCCTCATTGCTTGTCTTTTTATGTAGTGAGAAAACAAGTGCATTCATTTGGCTGTCACATAATGTAAAAGAACTGTGCAAGAAAGAGAAGATGTTCATATGTAAGGGACCTTTTTGGCAGAGAGAGGAGAAGAGCTCCATCTAAAGCCTTTATTTGCTTCCTTTTTTCCAAAATACTTGGGATGCTGTCGAAAATGCAAAGAAGAACAGAACCCCAAAAATCCCTTAAGTCTTGGATTTAGCTGAAATGGAACAAACAAAAGACACCAGCAGTTGAAACAAAGAAGCTATTGTTTTTGACCAATATGTACTCAGTTTTAAATAGGGACCACTGTCGTAGTCAAACTCTTCTTCCACTGAGCATTTAATTAAGGAAACCATATAACTTGAAAATAAATCATTTCCATTGCAGCCTGTTTCTGTCAGATGTTTCATTTTGCTTACTGCTTACGCATTGCACAACACCCGATAGTGTGAAGCAGGATTAACGATTAATTTACTATAAAATGTAGAGTACTGCATATTTAATTACTTCCTTCAGTTTTTTTAACAGCATTGCTTAGCTGGTTCACTACTTGAGTAGATTTGTGGAAATAGAAAGTAAAACTTAACATGGACTGGACCAAATTAGTCTTCCTGATAGATCAACAATAGGTTTTGATTACCTCCTTGTTCCCACCCTAAACTCAATTACAGCATTAGAATAGTAGGCAGGAAAAAAACAGAAGCTTTTATCTGTTCCTGTCAAGAGTCAAGGATTAGGGGACTGTTCAAATAAATTTTCATTAGCATACACCTTGAAACTTTAAATGATTTATTTTCTATTTATCCATAAGTAGTTACAACATAATTGTGAACACAAGAGCACTGTAAACGCCAAACTGCCTTTGATCATAGCATCATATTTATT